CTACTGTTTTCAGTTGTCTGTTTCCAACAGAGTGCCTTCAAAGGAAAGAATCTCACTTCTTCACATCCTATCACTTATGAGGGTGACAGTGATCTAGTCCAAAGACTATAGAAAGAGATAATATCCCCTTATGTTATGAGTTCCTTACAATGTGTTATAAGCTTTCAAATATTTGTACTGCACAGATCCCTGGGGTTTTCCAAAAGATAGAGAAATGACCAAAAAAAAAAAAAAAGAAAAAAAAAAAAAACAGCCACCAGAAAAGTTTCAATTAGATGCAGTTAACAGCCTGCCTCCAATTACCTATATCTGTCTTGGCTGAAATCCACTAATCAAAATACCATTGCATTTTAAGGAGGAAATGTGAAAAGAAAAGAAAACAGAAGGGGAGAAGAAAAATAGCAATTCAGGAAATACAGCCTTGAGAGTGATACTGCACCTGAATTACAGGGTCCTAATTTTGTGGTATCTTTTGGTTCTACTTCAGCAATCTAAAAACACCCTAACCCTGAAGGCTATCTGTAAGAATGTACAGTGATATAAAGCATCTGTAAGAGGTCTTATGTCATGCCTTCACTCCTTTCTATCTGTCTGCAAAGCAATTGTGTCCTCATCCTGAAGTATTAGTAATCTTCAGACAGTAAAGGTCATTATGGGTTATCTGGTTTATACCAGGGGTCACTTTCAAATAATAAACTAGGGAAGTGAATGATCGGGTTTGAAGCTACCACATCTGCTCTAAAGTGCTCCACAGGTGAACTCAAGGTCTAGGTTTTGTATAGCAGGTCTAGCAGGGCAGCTGAGGCAACTCTTTATTTAGTGCTGCTAATGATAGACTGGATGGGTATAAAGAATTACCGTGTCCAAAGGGGAGAAAAGAAGCAAGGACAGCACCAAGAGAGTGCACATGAAATGCACTGTCATAGCACATAGGGTGGAAACCAGTATATTTAATCTGGTGACCACAGAATGAGCCAAATGCTTCTTTTTTATTAATTTTATTTATTTATTTATATTTGCCAAGAGCTGATCCAGATTTTATGCTGTTGCTTCTGCTCTGGCAGCACTGCAACCCAGGAAGGGATTGCAGAATAGGATTTGAGCTACCTGTTGGTCTTATGTTAGAGAGTTCTATCACAGCTCATGTCAATGCTGCCCTTAACAAAGAGTATTTCTGTTCATAAAGGAAGAGAAGTCCTTAACCATCATAACTGCTAGATGGGTAACATGACCTCACAGCACAGTATCTGGCATTAAAATATGCTTATCATAGAATCATAGAATCCTTAAGGTTGGAAGGGACCTCTAGGGATCATCTAGTCCAACACACTTACACGAAATGTTCATCTTTTCCAGAAGGAAACTGTATTTTCTCATGCAAACAAACACTTTTTAATGATGGAAAGGACCAGAACCAAAGGGAGGGCAAAGTGAAATTTGGTATTTTATTTATAAATTATGAGGTATTTGTGACTTATAAAAGTCAGGCAACAGGGCTCAAAGCACTAATGTGAGACAATGATCCACTACACTGGAAGTCAGGCGTCATATGGCATTATTTCCACATACTGGGCAAGTAACACCCTGGATTCTGACTCAAGAAAAAAAATGCTACTTAATGTTTTAAAGTTATTAAATTGTTCTGTTACATTTTTTAAATGGATGCTTGAGTAAAAGTAGACTGAAGGATGGTGTGAGCATCCAAGTTTGTGCTGATTAATATCTGCTTACATTTGTTGTCTCTGCTGCTGTCATATGGGTCAAATGTACTCTTTAAATTAAATTTCCTAATTTGAAAGTATATACCATCCTACACTAGAGGAATAGGATTGTCTCAAAGCCATTTATTGTATTTAATTGCATGTGACTGAAAATGTTTTTAGGAATTACAAGAAATGTACTCCTGGTTAAAAAATGGATACATCTTTGCTTCCACTGCTAACTTACAAATCAAAATGAACTCAATATAGTCAATATTAAAACAGTAAAAAATGAGATTAGTAGGTGATGGATGAGTACTAAGCCCCGAATTTCTCACCAAGCTTTTAACCAGACAGAAACTCCCCTTGAAACCAAACCATCAATAAAAGAACTAATAAAGTTTCTCTGTCTACAGGCCTATGTAACAACAAGAGTACTGAAGTTCAGCAGATGGACTTTTGATGCTACTCTTCCTGCCTCTGCCAAAGGACATCTACAGATTTCCATTGCAAAATAGGGGTTAGCAGAGATTACACCTCTTTAGAAAAGCCTTCACCTAGAATAGATGAACTTCTGTGTCCTCATCTTAGTTCAGGCAGCTTGTCTGAAACAGGCATGTGAATCTAAAAGGAATACATCTCCTAATACATCTTTCATAGGGAACTGCTATTAGTAGCAAAACAAGAATCAGATTTCCCGGGACCACAACACCATTCTCCAGCGTAAGCTCTGGGATAAGCTTCTTTGCTGTTCTCACAGAGGAGACCGGCTGTCAGAAGCAGGGGCCCTATCATGAAACTCACCAATTTAAGATTCCTTTTTTATTTTTTTACCTCAGAACAGATGTCAGACTAATGAAACTAGTGTTTTGCTTCTACTGTTTTACTTTGGCTGCATAATGTAACATTTTAGAAAGACTGTAGAAGGATGAGAGTGAAATCTGAATTCAAAAGAAGAATCAAGACACGGTACAGCATAAGCTCATTGCTCCACAGGATCTGCAATGAAGACTTCGAGCTATTAATTCTCCAGACCTTGTTTTTGACTCTATGTGATTAGCTTTATGCAAATTTATTTGTTTTGTTAAGGTTTTGGCATGAGCATAGAGAGAATTTAAACCACTTATGTAGCATGACATGACTTGTGTGTATATGGTGTTTTTATCTACACAGCTTTGTTCATGTGAACTTCTAGTATAATACTCTGCCCTGAGTAGTCGTGTAATTACTTAGGCTGATATTAATTATGTAGGCACATATTAAGACATATTAAGACAGTTTAGTTTGTTCATTGTTTTTAAATTCTTGGAGTTACTTTTAAGATCTTGTTGTGTTAAGTTACCATTGGAAACTGCTTAGTTTTAGAAAACAGGATGCCTGCATATTTTCCAGAGGACACTTACACAATAGGTAGTTTAGAAAATTATAAGAGATTACAGATCACTATGAATAGTTATTCTAACACATTTTACAGTGTTTGTTTTTTTCTTGAAAAGTCAGTGACTGATCAGCAAACTCTTACACACCTGCTGAAATGTACATATTGGCTATGTCCTTGGAACCACTGAGAAGTCACACACCCATAGAGAAGGATATGGATCTCTAATGTGTTCAAGCTCACAATGCTCCATAGTGGTTGGCTTAGAAAAATAATGAAGCAGGTTGTAAACAGTACCCTGGAAAAATCAGTTTCCTTATGAATCACTTTTAAATATTGCATTCTTATTTAATAAGGAATTATATTTAATTTATATCTATTATCATGTAGTTTTATTTCTACTTCAGTTCATGCATTTCCAAGAACATCAAAAAATACTTTTTTACTGTTATAACTGATATTTCATCCCAGTGATTTTATGTAGATTGAAAAAAACTAATAGTGTCTTCTGATGTTGAATATATGATGGACTATATGATGTCCCCTCCTTAGTCTAGCATATTTGCTGTATCTGGAAGGAAGAAAGGAATATGAAATGCCATTACTCTTATAATCTCTCTTAGAAAAATAAGAGCAACTTGGGAGGCATCTCCACTTCCCAAGACCATGCAAGCTCTTCACAAAAACCTGGGCTGCAAGGTTGATCCGCTCTATAGTCAAACAGAGATCTTTTTAGCTGTGTATCATCCTCTAGCAAGCCAGGTAGGAAGTGCGAGTGGGAGGTAACTCGGGCCCTTTCTCACACATAGTCTGCCCTATGCTGTCAAATATGGCTACAGATTTCAAAAGAGAAGGTCCTGGCACACCTGGAGAAGTTGAAGAAGTAGTTGGAATGACAAGGTAACAACCACACCAATAGAGCCAGTAGCATGCAATATGCTGTGGAAATAAAATGACCACTTCTTAGCTATCTCTTGGGTACTTTTTTTTTGACTCTTCATGAAGACAGTGCACAACTTGCCCACAGCCTGAGCAGTATGGTTGAATGAATTCCTAAAGCTGCTGATAATCTAGCCATCCCTCTGATTTTTTTTTCCATGACAGTGAAAGAATGTTTTATCTCAGCAATCAAATCTGCATTAATAAGAGGTAGTGCCTTTTACACAAGGATTCTTTAAGTTCATTTAGGAAAGCACTCTTTCATTTTTGCTCTGAAAGATCCAGTTTAGAATTATATGTAGTTCCACTCTAGAAAAATTATAGTTATTTCTGCTTCAGCATCCACCTGACAGCATCTAGACAATAAAAGCACATACTCTGCAACATTAATAACAATACTTTTTTCCTCAGTTAATCTCTACATATTACTCAAAGATGTCCAGTATTATTATCCCACTTTCTAGCCCAAGATACAGAAGGGAAGCAAGCTGCTCGTGGTTTCCCAGTAGGAAAATATATGTGTCAATGCGGGAAACATGTGGCTGGCTTTCAATAGACTCTTGCTGCTTACACTAAGGAAATGAAGGGACTTATTTAACTCTTCTTGTATAGTTACTTTCCATTGTATTTCCCAAGACACTGCTATGCAACAAGAAGTCCTATTTTGCTAGTGTATGTTATTTTTAAGCTTTAGACAGTACGTAGATTCTCGAAGAGGTCATTCCTCCTTACCAATAATAAAATAGCCCAAAACAACGCATATTATGCACATAAAATAGTAAATATATCAAATGATAGAACCTTTCAGAGGGAAAATTGTCTCCACAATTGTTCCGCAGAATCTTTTAGAATCAAGACATCAAATCTACTTCTAATTAATATTAATAGTACATATACTTCCATCTCATGCTACATATATCTTGGTTAATGAACCACTCCCAGGTTTAGGTGAATAGAAATGGCCTTATGGAGTAATGATCAAAACACGTTTTGAGGAAAAGGTAAAGAAAAACTGATTGTGAGACACCACAACAAATTACTAATCATTTTACATTCTGAAAAAAAATGCAAATTTATTCCAAAGGTTGCAGCATCAAGCACCTTTTTTATTGTTACTTCTTTTGCATCAGAATATGAAAGAAATCATGTCTGCCTTGCAAGTACATCCATTAAATGACTGAGATTATGCACATGATCTGAAATGTACTGAAGTCAATATATACCTTTTCACTGACTTCAGTAATTGACTGTCAAACAATCAATCTGTTCTCAGGGTTCATGCTATTTTGATTAACTAAAAACCCTGATAAAACTTTGCCAGAGAAACATTTGGAAAACAACCTTTTAAACCTCAAGAAATACTGAAGTAATCTATTCATTACCTTTTGTTACCAATATAAGTCTTGAAAGTTTTCAGATGTAATTTTAAGGCAATTAATAGGGAATTTTGGTTTTCACATTAACAACATTCTAGAAAAAAAAAACAAAAGCCTTACCCCAAAACTTTGGTGGCCATGTGATCGGAGAGTAAGTACTGTTTTTATCCATAACATCCAAATGATAAATATAAAATGATATGTCCACAGTGGAGCAATGGTTTCTGAATGTTTGAGATTTAGCAGTAAAAGTAGTGCTTTTGTGCTGTTGGGGGACTATTTTGTTTGCCTGAAAGGAAATGGATGTATCACATTTCCTGCTTCTGGACTCAAATTAGTAAGTGTTTGCCTTATCTTGGAACACCACATAGTTCCTGAGATGGAGAAATAGTTTCCTTCTCGTCATTTCCTTAGTCAGAGAGAACTGACTTAGAACAATACCAAATCTCCTTCTTCTCTAAAACTTTTTGAATTCTGAAGGGTGACATAGAGAGAGGAAAATGCCTTTTTATTTCCTTTAATGGGTAAAGATCTTCCTTAAACATTCAGAAGTACATGCATTCTGTAGGAATTTTTGATAAGTAAGAAATGCTTAATCAGGCTTTTAAAGACCACTTAAGTAGTACATTAATTTAGGGTATAAGTTTTGTTCAGTATTCCCTGTTGTTCCTCAGCAAGTATGCGGAACTAGCTAGGCCTGACCATATAACATTATGTTGGTGTTAACGTTTTTAATGAGTGTACTTCAAAGTTCCTCTGTCAATTCTTTTCCTTTCCACACCCCATTCTAAATTATGAGTTGCCTGGAACATAAACAGGGTTTGAGCTAATTGTTTCAACAGGTTTAATACAATCCAGTATTAATTCCCAGTTGGAATTTTTAAGTAGTGCTGTTAAATATAAAAAATACTAATAACAACATCTACAAAATGAAATAGCCAAGATCTTAATAATATGCACACCGAATTAATAGAGAATGTAAAATAATCAATAATATATATGATTTTTATGTAAAAATCTGTAAGATCTGATTTTAAATATTTGCCTTAAGCATATTGCCAGTAACAGATATTCATAAACTGCAGAATTCCGTTGTGAGTGTGAAGCCTGTTTTCTCTGAAAAGTTCCGTGAAGCTGTGTTTTGACCATCATTAAGAAACAGAAACAGCTGCATCCAAGTTTCACTATGAAATCTTGAGATTTGGATCTGGCATAATTTTAATGTTGAGTCTAAATTTTTGCTTTAAATAGATTTAAAACAGGTTGAAGAAAGGTACACCGGTAATAGAAATCTGATGCCTTTTAAAGTTGATGCTTAAAATGACATATCCAAATACTGATTTACATAGTGAATGTAATGAGTTTACACACTGAAGGAAAAATACCTGATTTCCAGGGCTTTGTGAACAAAATACAACCTGGTAAGAAATGTCAGGATTATTTAATTTCCACTAAATGCATAGAACAAAAGCATATGATAAGATGATACATATTAAAGAATTCTGTGACGGGAGTCAGTTTCATGGCACACCATGAACCATGTGTTCATAGTTAGCACATGGAGATTAAACAAAATGGAATTATTGCAAACTATAAAATGAAAAATTTAAGTACTGTTAGTTTAACAAATGCATCTACTGAGATGATCTGTAGATCAGATCTGTTAAATAGAATTAAACACACTGAATTAATCAAATTGAAAACGGCCTAGACATGGCATAGACAATGGCCTATCCATACGGCTAATTATATCATCCATAGTATCAAAATGCATATGAAATACCATTTTTTCATGTCCTTTGGGAAAGTCAACAACAGTGAGAAGAAGGACACTTTCTCTCTGGAGAGGTAATTTAAAGATTCCAAGAGATCTGTCTTTTTCATCATAAACATCTTATATGGGAAACTGTTAGCAGCAGAATATCAGACCACTGAAAGAGTTATCTGGACTGTATCTGTAATGCTTATCAGCAAGTTGCAGCAAGTGAAGCACTGTATCACTCAAGCTTTCAAATACATTTCTATATAACTGAGTGCAGTTTCAATGACATGAACAGAGTCTTTTATCCCTTAAAAGAATAATTGAATCCTTAAATATTCTTATATCCTTAAACTTTATGAAACTATCAGTTAAATGATAAAAGGTGTTTTGAATTTACAACTGTTAAAGCCTGAAGAAAGAAGAACTCTCAGGGAACACAATGTAGTGGATATCATCATAAATTAGAAAAATCACAGACAACCAAATCATACACACACAAGGCAAGTTCAGCATGTGAAGAGTCACCCTAAGCAAAAGCTCTGTCTTGTAGACCTTGCGTGAGGAAATGATGGGCAAAGACAGCCCTGAGAGGTTTTCGAATCCTTCAGGGATCCTCTCTCTGCGGCAGGGCTGTGTGCAAATCCTGCAGAATGCTATCCTGCCAGCAATGCAGCAGTGTGTTGGTGGCTGCTGTGCCCTCAGCTGTGAACAGTTGGGAGGGAAGGACCTAGTCAGCACCATTGCCAGTCTGCTTTGGGGGCAGCAAGTGCTTTCTGTGAAATATTTATGAATCTTTTCTTTTTTCTTTTCTTCCAATTGAAGTCCTGATTGACAAGATATTTTCATTCTTTGCTTAACAAAACACTTGAGGTGGAAAGCTTACTGTTTACTGGGTGTGAAGAGATTCATTGAGTGGAAAACATTTTTTGGCCCAAAACTTCTACAGATAATGTTCAAATGTTCTCAGCAAATCCTTAAAATCCAACGCAGATTCTTTTTGCTTTTACCTTCAATCAGTGCCTGACAGAAGGAATTTAGCAGTATGATAGAAGCAAAAAGCTAACACCGTATCAGAATTTTAAAATAACTTGCTGAAAAATAATTTCATTTTTCTATTGTTTACTGCTACTTGCACTTCTCAAGAAATCATAGATATATATGCTGGATTCTACTGAGTGAACACACAAAAATGTTTTAGTTCAAAACTAAACACATCTTACTGAAAAGAGAAAATGAAAAAAAATGAGTAAAATGAGCATGCAGTGAAACTTTTTTTAACACTTTCCATCTGGAGATTATGATTTAGACTGGGATTTCCTTTAATTGTTTCATATTTCAGCAGCCCCATATTTGTCCTTGGTGAGTTTTACAGCTCTCCGGATGCATGAAGAAAAAGGATTTATTTTTCTTTGAGCAGTGATGAAAAATGTTCCTGTCTCCCATCAAGCTATCCATTTTAAAAGCCACTAATAATGTGAACAAAAATGACAGAGAAACTTTTGCCACAGAGTAGTATTTACTAGTTCACTTGAATCTACATCAAGCCCAAACAGCCAAATTTCTGCTGTTTACCTGCTGCAGAACTTAATCTCCACTAAAAGGGTTAAATAGTTTACTTCCAGCTGATTACTCTGTCAGAATATACCTTTGAATGTGAGGTATCTGCTATGAATGCAAAGAAATACGTCTGCAGTAAGTCATCTAAGTCATCACACCAAGAAAATCTTTTTTTTTTTTAATGATTTTTTCCAGATTTTTCAGAATTTTCAGATTTTGGGATTTTTCAGAAGGAGAATCCTGGACAGCATATGCATTAGAATTTCAGATACTCAACATTTTTAGGAGATACAGAATTCTAACGTAACACAAAAAGAAAGGTTCACAAAGGTGCACCCTGAACCTCCTGAGACCTGAAATATTGTGGTATGACATTTGGTAGAGTAATTACCTTAGTTTGGATTACCAGCCTTCTTCTGATAGAACTCCTTTTTTTTTTTTTTTTTTTTTTCTAATTCCCATTAAAAAGGGCCCGAGGAGGGGGGGACAGAAAGAAAGGATCATCCAAGCACAGCTCAGCTGGCTCATCCCAACAATAAAATCTTACCATTTTGACATTTTCATAGTATGTGATAGAACTCCATAGTGGAGCGGTAAAATTGGCACCCAGCTATGAGCACGGGATAGAAAATTTTCCTGTGCTGTTGTATTTGCTCAGACCTGCTGTTTAAAAGATGGAATGAAACTACATTAATTTTTCCCATTCCTTAAGGAAGACTGAAATTTTAAGTTGAATTGACAAATCGTATTCCCAAATTTATCTGTATTTGTTCATGCTGAGAGGCACTTGTATTTCACAAACACCAGTCTGCTGGTATGAGCAGCACACACTTTAAAGTGCATGAACTATTAGGAACAGAACTGTATTTGCCCCAGGTTGCCACATAGAATTTGACCTGTAATGTGGCATTGCTCAGGACAAGCCAAACTATTCATGAGTGCTACTGCTACCATGTGTGAATCAGTGGATTTGGGTGGATGTTTCACAGGGTGGACAGAGACTGTTATCTGTAATTTTTATTTCACTGAGACATAAAATATGTCTTATCATTGAAATGGTCTTCATGTTATCACAGTTAGGAACATCTAGATAGATATATGGCATACTGAATTCAAAGTACCCTTCTGGGACTCCTTTTATATTTATTTTGGCAGAAATTGTTCCCTATTGCCATTTCAAGATGTGTGAAAATCATAGCAATAATCAAAATACACTGTTGTTAATGAAAATATCTTCACATATATTGAAATATCTAATTTTGTGCAGCATGGACAGATAAACGTTTAGAAAGTATTTATACTCCAGCATATCTGAAATCTCTTTCAAAAATGAGATGAAAAGGATGATCAGAATGAAATTTTTAGCAGGATGTCCATGTTTTTAAAAAGACAGCTTCCAAGATAATACCAATATAGATTCCAATGCAATTCCAATCCAAAAAAAATCTCGAATACTTTATAGAATATTTTGTCAGCCTAATGCTGTACAACAGATCTGGTCTATCAAACTTGTCAAGAAAAAATAGACTGTGGACCGGTATACCACAACAGATGTCATTTTGTTGTATTTAGTTAGGTTTTTCACTTTTATACACAAATCAGAGGGATTACTGCTTAATTTTCATGAATGCATTTATTTGATTGGTGAACAAACTGAAAATTCTTCTTTCATTTTATTAGGTGAATGGCTTGTGACAGTAAAAATCTGCTTTCTGAGTCATACCACAGTTAAGTAATGCTATACAAAGCTGTGATAAATATTTGATCATTAAGATCAACTTCATAGTTTACTAATACTATAAAAGATTTATTAGAAAAAGAAAGCTTTTTCTAAAATTTAGAACAAGAGGAAATCCTACGGTAAGGGTTAAAAATGAAGGTAGGAGGAACAATTAAAGGAAATTGTCTTTCAGAAATCAGGAATATTTAATCTTCTCTTCC